AACGTTGCTGCTTTGTGCAAGGGTGGCAGCCAACGTCACACGGCAGCAGCAACAACGACACCAAGGAACTTGAACAAGCAAGAAGCAGCAAGCAACAAGCAACACGCAACAAGCATCAAGCAACACGCAACAAGCAACACGCGACACACACCAAACAGCAAGCAAAAAACAACAAGCAGCAGGCAAGAGGCAACAGGCAACAGGCAGCAGGTATCATGCAACAGGCAACAGGCAACGCGCAGAAGGCAGCAGGAAGACGCAACAAGCACAACAACCAACAAGCAACAACCAACAAGCAGCAAGCAGCAAACAACAAGCAACAGCAACAGCAGTGACAGCAGCAAACAACAAGCAACGGCAACAGCAGTGACAGCAGCAACAGTAGCAACGCAACAGCAGCAACGCAACAGCAGCAATGCAACAGCAACATAACTAGTAGCCGCAGCAGTGGCGGCAGCTGCAACAGCAATAGGCGCATCAGATTTGGGCCAAGCCAGTGTCCGCAAAAGCCAATGACAAAGACAAGCAGTCGCAAGAGCTTTTCGGAACTGTGGGTGGCAGGGACAGTCAGTTTGGATGGCTGAGTCAGTAGGCGGGGTGGTTGACACCTCGGGAGAGTTTGGAGGAGATGGCTTGGATGTTTGGGATGGCCGGAGTGAGATGGTTGGTATGGTTGGAAACTTCCAGTCTTGGACGACTGTTCCCGGTTTCCGACTTCTGAAGCGACCAGACCCTTGTCAGGCCTTCTTTGGTAGCTGATTTGATCTTTGCCTTCTTCAATTCCACTTGCAGTTCCCATGAGTTTCGAATTCGACCCTCGCCCTTAAGTTCGATCAACTTTGGTCAAAACCACGCTGGATAGCATTTGCACAGTTCAACAGCTTTTGTTTTCTGAGGCCGCAGCGCAGTCCCTGGAGAACCGCAAGCTGCGGCGGGAGTTGGAGAGTCTGCGAGCTCTGGCCCAGTGGCAGCAGAGCGAGGAGCGCGGCAGCTGTTGGGCTCAAGTTGGGCGTGTGTTTTTGAGAGCACCCTTTTGGCCTTGCGTTAAATTGATACCCAAAGGAGGACCACAGTTTCTTGTGCGGCCGATTTTGGTACATATCCACTTATCGCACGCTCCAGCCTGGAGTTTGATCATGACCCACACGTTCAGCTTCGCAGGTTGGCGCTGCCATTGCCTGCAAGAGTGCAGCATCTGCCGATTTGCCAAGGCCGCCTGAAAATTGGACTGCCTGGACTTGCCAATCAGCAAGAGCATCAGGTTTCACCTTAGTGAGCTCGAATCTTCCCAGGTTGATGTGTTGCGTTCACAAAGCTCTGTGCCTTTTAGGTGTTTTAGTGTGTGTCCAAAAGCACGCTTTGTCATTTGCTTGGGTTCTTCCTCAGGCCCTCGAAAGCGTCACCGCCACCCCCTCATGGACATGGCGCCCTGGCAAAGGAGAAGGGTGGTTGCAGGGTGCAACTGGGTGTGTGTTTTTTTGAGGCTTGGTACCCTTCTTAGGGTTTGTTTGAAGAGAGTCCGAAGGGAAACCAATGTTTGGAGCTTCTATGTTGACACGTACCCAACTTGCCTCATTCGCTTAGCTCTGGAGACTGGTTCATCGTCGTGACTGCAAGTCCCGCACTCCCGGCTCCCCATCCTGGGGCTTTGAGCTGGTCGGCGTGTGATGTCTGCGGTGGTTGTGTGTGTGTGTGTGTGTGTTGTTTGTGTTGTGCGAGGTTTGTGCGTGTGTGCGTGTTGTGTGCGCGGTTTGTGTGCGTGTGTGTGTCTGTGTCTGTGTCTGTGTCTGTGTCTGTGTCTGTGTCTGTGTCTGTGTCTGTGTCTGTGTGTGTTTGTGCGCGTGTTTGTGTGTTTTGTGTTTGTGTGTTTGTGTGTTGTGTGTGTGTGTTGTGTGTGTGTGTGTTGTGTGTGTATTGTGTTGTGTGTGTGTGGGTTGTGTGTGTGGGTTTGGCGTTTGTGTTTGTTTGTGTGCTTGTGTGTGTGTGTGTCCATGTCTGTTTGTGTGTTTTTGTGTTTGTGTGTGTGTGCGTGTGCATGTGCGTGTGCGTGTGCGTGTGCGTGTGTGTGTGTGTGTGTGTGTGTGTGTGTGTGTGTGTGTGTGTGTTTGTGTGTGTGTGTGTGTGTGTGTTTGTGTGTGTGTGTGTGTTTGTGTGTGTTTGTGTTTGTGTTTGTGTTTGTGTTTGTGTTTGTGTTGTGTTTGTGTTTGTGTTTGTGTTTGTGGTTGTGTGTGTGTGTGTGTGTGTGTGTGTGTGTGTGTGTGTGTGTGTGTGTGTGTGTGTGTTTGTGTGTGTGTTTGTGTGTGTTTGTGTGTGTTTGTGTGCGCATGCGTGCGTGCGTGCGTGCGTGCGTGCGTGCGTGCGTGCGTGCGTGTTTGTGTGTTGTGTGTGTGTGTTGTGTGTGTGTTGTGCGTGTTGTGTTGTGTGTGTGTGCGGAGTGGCAGAATACCCTGCCACCACAATTGCTTATGATTTCAACCGCAGGGGAGTGCTGCATGACTGAGGGACCGCACTCAACGAAGCTACCTCAGTCATGGGATATCGGATCTGATCAATCCGACGTACCTGCGACATTTGGAGTTGGTGATGTAAAGTCCTTTTGGCCCGTTGTTTCTCTCGCTGTGTGTGCTTCATGTTGACCCTTGTAACGTTTTCGACACTAGAGGGAAACCGAGTGCATTGCGAGCCGAAACTCATCGTACTCGAGACTTATCAGTTGTACTCGAGACTCATCAGTTGTACTCGAGACTCATCAGTTGTACTCGAAAGATTAGCACCCTCCCTTGGGAGTTGAAGTGTGACTACCCCAGTTTGGGGGAACCTCGGGTGTACCCATGGTGTGACCCCGGGCCGGTTCGCCGGAAAATTTGACCTCAACGTTCATATCATAGTCCAGCGGAATTTCACGTTTAAGCAGGAACGAGGTTTCACTAAAGGGAAGACAGCCACCAGATCATAGTGACGTTTCACGGGAGCCTGGGCGCTGCTTGCTGATCTTTTCATGCTTTGCCTTGTTGATTTGTACTTGCCATGATCTTGCGTTGTCATGGAATTGATGCTTGTCGGTCTTAGTCTTTCTCAAGGTTGATCTGTGCCATCACCTGGGTTCGCTGGATCGTGACCGATCCAGAACTCGGCGCAGACGGGATAGGGGCCCATCTTCACCTCCTCGTAAAGCGCGCAGACGTGATCGCGACGACACCTTGGTCTCGGACGGCATGGATTGGAACAACCTGGTCTCCTGGCAACACAATCCGAGCTACAACGCACCCAATGCCTTTCCAATGACGCAGAGCAACTACCAGCCGAATCCCTCCCCTCTCAGAAAGATGATGCAGAGCTGGTCACACCGCCTCCGGTCAATCACTCACAGTCTTCGACGCCTACCAGCTCGCTACCCACGGTAAGTGCGGCGGCCCTTGACGGCAGGTCATTTGATGTTCCATCTCAGCAGCAGCCTCGGATCATACAATCTCTTCACGGACTGTCTTCCCCGCCTTCCAAGCAAGCAACACCTCAGTTGCTCACCATGCACAGCACGCCGGAAGACATCATCAGGCACTACATTTGGACCAGTGATCAGCCACGATTATACCTCAAGCAGGCTCCTACTACTACTACCGTGCCATCGCTGATCAAGTGGGCTAACCACCCGTCCCGTCTCAACGGCAACAAGTCTTTGGAACCCATGGCGGCCCAGCTCTTTCAGGCGCGTCAACGTTTGCCAAAAGGTGATGCACCTACGTTTGCTTCAATGGCCTCTTTGTGGGGACTGGAGCCAGGCTACACCGCCAAGCTCTCGGACAAAGCGCTGTGCCTCCTCGTCGTGGCGGCCCGACTACTCGCCGGGTAAAATATTAGCCCGGCGTGGCGACTGTGCGGCATTGTGATGTGCGGTTGCAAACTTGTCTGCGCTTAACTTGGGGCTTGTCATGCCTTGTGAGTTGCTTGTCTTGTCTTGTGAGTTGCTTGTCACTTGTTGACTCTTGAATGCATGTCGCCGCCACCTTGTAGCTGCACTTGGTTAGACATTCATCATGTGGACTGAGCTTCAGCACAGCGGGATATTTGAGGACGTTGCACAATGGCACTCCTTGGCTACTTTTCTGGACACATTAACGTTTTTCTCCGCGTGTTGGCGGTACTGCTTCCCTGGACTTCAACTACCAACGGTACCTCCGGATGAGTATGAATCGATTCAGCATTTACCTCAGTTGGACCTCATCCTTGAAGTGCTCATCTTGGTTCGGATTGCGCTTCAAATTCCGATGCAATCCATGTCGTCATACAGTTGCCAACAGGTATGAGCTCCACAGATGTCGGATCACTTCGTATCTGCTGATTTGCTTCTTGCAGCGACTAATTTCACAGAACCATGGGTACATACCACCGTTCTTTGAGGTCCTTCACTTCTACAAGACGTCATTGCTGTGTGAAGTCATGCACTCCACCTTCGCTGATATGAAACACCTCAAATCCCTACGGTCTCGCTTTCCGGACCTGTGTGACTTCATTCAAGATCCGGGCCACCATCAACAGCCTTGCGTCCACCTCAGACTCTCACCGTGGCATACATTGGTGCTACTGAGCAGGATGTTCTTCGCAGAGAACACTCCCATTGCCGCAAATATCTACAACTTCTGCGGGGGCAACATGCCTTCTTTGAACCTGCGCTTCACTATTGGAAGCGATCCAACAACTACTGGCTTTTCTGTGCGATTCCAGTTGAGATCAAACTTCCTTCTTCCTCGGTTTGGATCCAGGAAAGCAAATGGCAGTACATGCTACGTCCGCATGTAACTGCATCCTGGGTACACAGACTTCTTCGGAAAATTGGTTTCCGTGAACATCTGGTTGACTTTCGTCGTCATTCGTTATCCTCGCCTACGTCATTATCTCTTCACAAGCGGTTTCGGCGACGACTTCATCCTGATCTACATCGTCAACTGCGGCCAGAGATGTTGGATGACATCCAAGCACACTATTCTACTCTGTGTCGGTTGGGATCCAACACTGGTGCGTAGTTTCAAACCATGCGCGACCTTTTATCGGCGGCCTTTCCCTCCACCCAACTCTACTATTTCCTGCGACTTTCCAGCTTTGTCAACGAAGCTTTTCGCTCCAAGGCTCAGAAGCTCCTTGCCCATGTTCGAGACTGGAAAGCTCAGCTTGGAACCTGGTTGCAGCGTTGGGTGGCCTCTCACCGTGACCTCTTTCCTTCCTTATTTCTTCCGAAGATCCGGGTTGTGGAAACTCGTAGTGCCACCTTGGGAGACCGGACCTACAACCGCCACAAGTGGCAGCAAAGATGGACTCCGGATACGTCGTTCCCGTGTCGCTGCATTGACGTGGACGACCGCACCACTTCTCGCGCACATTCCCATGCGGTGATTTTGGATGAGTTTTCACGCATCAACGCTGATATTGGCCCTGACATCATGGCAGCATCCATGAAGGGTCAGTATTTTGATGATGTCAACAAACTTCAACAACGTTTTGACATGCAGCTTCGTAAGCTGGCTCGCCGATGGCATGTACAAAGATCCAGCTTCTCTATTGACTATCAACCAGTTCTGACGGAGTTGTTTGATGAACATCGCTCCAACGTCCAAGACCGTGCTCACTGGACCTCCGCGTCATTGCAACGCACCGCTCGCTCCCTGTCATCGTGGGTTGTAATTCCAGCGGATCACTTCCCTTCGCGTGCTCATGTGATTTGCCCATCGTTATTTTCCATGCTGATGCACAAGACCTTTCGCACAGGTGAAGTCTTTGCACTGTGCCGTGAGTCTGCGGCATCTTTTCGCGCCGAAGTTGTCACCATGGTACCTGCTCGACTACAACACCGTTATGCATGGGGGCTTCGACTTCATGCACCTTTGCCCACGGCTCGCATTCTTCCCAAACCGACCAAGGACTGGCTCAAAGCGAGACCAATCATTCCTTCTTCCGCACATGGGCAGCACCCCTCCTCACGGTCTTCGGCGCCCTTATCTTTGAGCTCACCAAGGTCGCCTTTCCAGACGTCCCTGGTCAGCTTTCAGTTCAGCAGCTTTGGAACGCACTATCGCATGAGGAGCCCACGGAATATATACAGCTGGTATCACTTCACATCCATACCCACTGAACGTTTTCATCAAGCTCTGCAGGTCTTACTTCGCCGCTATGATCAGGTGGTCGGTCTACGCGACACATCAAATTGGTCGGTCTATGAGGTGAAGTCATATCATCGGCGACGCATGTTCAAAGGCAAGTGGCGCCGTCAAACCAAGGTTCCTCGGGCATTTCGTGAGGAGGACCTTCAGTGTCTTTTTGACTTCGTCATTGACAACAGTCACTTCGAGATCAACGGCTACCTGTTCCGGCAGGAACGCGGCGTTGCCATGGGATCACCAGCTGCTCCTCCTCTTTGCAATCTTGTTGCTACAGTTGAGGACTTTTTCTGGCACCAAACCATGAACTCTCTCAGGTTTCAAACGCCAGACTTTGGTGTGATCTGGCACGAGCGCTATGTTGACAACCGCTTCATACTCCTGCGGGATTCAGCGCCGTCAACTGCTGTCCTCAGGAACTTTCTATCCTTGGAATTTTATCGCTCTCCAGAAATGCTTGAGACCCAAAATGATACCAAAGTGCTTGGACACATGTGTGATTCATCTTCCAGGACTATCACACCACAACTACCCGATCATCCTTCTCAGATCAAAGGCGTCCGAAGTGCCAATGATCAGATGTTTACTTACTCCTCGTGGTCATCTCGATCGTGGCTCATTGTGCGTGGAGCTCAGCCAGCAATCCAACAACAGATTGGCCTAGATGCTCTCAAACGTCTTTATGAAGCCAAAGGCTTCAATCCTCATCTCCTACGTGATGTCCGGCGACGAGTTGCATCAAAATTAGCATGTTGCCTCTTTGCTTTTGCACTTGTTGCCTCTTTGTCTGTGCACTTGCTGGTGTGTGCGTGCATGTGTGTAGTTGGCTCGGATTCGGTGGTTTCTCGGTATTCTCTTGCCCTAGACATGGCGGTGTATGTGGTCAGCAGCCTTCTGCGCCCGGATGGGACGGTGCAGACCACTAGTCAGGTCACCCTCGATGTTCAAACTCGCAGTTCCTCGCGCAGCATCCGGGCGATGCAGGACCAGACAGCAGAGGTGCGCTCTCGTTCACCAGTTCCCCGCCGATCCCGAGTTAGGCTTACTTACGCCTGGCCCACATGGACACTCAGAAGACGAAGATGACTGGGGTGAATGGACCCAGAGTGCATGATGATCGGAGGCGACCTCGATTGCCGTCCATTCCACCAGTCCGCCAGGTGGCGGCCACCGCGGTGGACCTGATTCACCTTCCTGTTCGGACTTCGGTGCCGTCGCTGGGCAGCCATCGCTTTGTGCTTCGCTCAGGCAGTCGGATTGAGGAAATTGCCATACTGATCGATGACGTTCTGTACTACACGCTTCCTTGCATTGCGGAGCTAGTCTTTCCGAACCCAGCCAAGTGGAAGAAATCCTGGGAAACAGTCTACAGGAGCCTTATGCCGCACCGGCGCAACATCATTCAGGATGAAGACAGAGTGAGATCTGTCTCCGAGCTGCCGGCAACGCGACCACCGCGCGGCAATCCAGGTGCCTGGACCACTGAGGTCATCAACGAGATCGCCCGGGAGTTCAACGTCTCGGCGGACAAGCTACCCGAGCAGCTCGTTGTTCAGCTAGGCGTCTGCGAGAAGTGTTGGCCGTACATCCAGAAGACCAGGAGGACTTGCTACCGGTTTCAGCCCACCAAGAAGGATTCGAGGAACAATCAGTACGGGATCCTCTTCTCCTTTGAGCCACGTCGCACACTACCTGACAACCTTCGGACAACCTTCGCTCGCAGTCGATCTCGCCGTTCTTCTGGGCGCGCAACACGGACATCTACTCCGCCATCGGCATCCTGAAAGATGAGGAGCTTCTCCCAATCAGCGCAACGTGGCCACGCAATCATCGGCTCTGTGCATGTCTACGCAGATGTTGGACGCGATTCTTCGATCTTCGGATGCATCGGCTTTCTCTACTGAGGATGTCACTCGTCTTCAGGCAGGGATCGGTCAGCAGCTGTCGGATCGCGCGCGTCAAGCGTCGCAACTGCACCAACCAGTGCGTACTTCTCGGGGCGTTGATCCGCCTGAGTCTATTGGGGTCGCTGATCCCTATCTGCCTGCAAGCCAACCAAGCAGCTCTGCCACCAAGCAGAAGCCTATCTTCGAGCTAGTTGCTGAGTAGACTGATGAGTTTTGACCGTGGTACAAAATGGTGCTTTCACGTTCTCTTGCTTTCATGTATGCTTGTGGGTTGTGCATGGTTGTGCATGGTGACTGTCTCCTTGCTAGCTGGATCGGAACCTGTGGCGCGCCCTATCTTTCACTTCGACATGGATACAGATGATGCAACTCAGACGTCGGCCCGGACTGACATTCAGCACCGTGGCTGGAGTATTCAGTCTGGCAGGGTCGTGAATGGGTGCGAATCTATATTCCTGGACAACCTCAGCTATGGCACCCGGATGATGAAGTACCTGACCTGCCAGAGAACACTTTTCGGGAGTGGAAACGGGTGACCGGTCCAGACGAGGAGACTCATGAACCAGGCCAAGCATGGACTATTCGAGATTGGCAACATCAAGGATACCAACGGGTATTGTCCCGCTATGAGTCATTCTCCACCGGATCAACTACTTGATGGCTTACACAACCCGGACATCTCCATCCAGGTCGAGGAAATGTTCACCTACGCCTCGCCCATGTCCGACGTTGCACATTGCATCTTCCGCCGGTCTGCTATGGCGGCACACTTCTGCTCAACTTGGAGATCCTTCGTCCCCGTCTTCTGAGCGGCATCGTACAGAGCGTGCAATTTCTCGTTCTCCCCGCCGCTGTGGATATTTTGGTAGACGTTAGGAAGTTGAGCGCGTGATCTTCCGGAAGCAAAAGAGAATGCACGCCCCTCCTGGAGGGGCGTGTGTGTGCGGAGTGGCAGAATACCCTGCCACCACAATTGCTTATGAGTTCAACCGCAGGGGAGTGCGGCATGACTGAGGGACCGCACTCAACGAAGCTACCTCAGTCATGGGATATCGGATCTGATCAATCCGACGTACCTGCGACATTTGGAGTTGGTGATGTAAAGTCCTTTTGGCCCGTTGTTTCTCTCGCTGTGTGTGCTTCATGTTGACCCTTGTAACGTTTTCGACACTAGAGGGAAACCGAGTGCATTGCGAGCCGAAACTCATCGTACTCGAGACTCATCAGTTGTACTCGAGACTCATCAGTTGTACTCGAGACTCATCAGTTGTACTCGAAAGATTAGCACCCTCCCTTGGGAGTTGAAGTGTGTGGGTTGTGTGTTGTGTGTGTGTGTGCGTGTGTGTGTGGGTTTGCGTGCGTGCACGCGTTTGTGTTTGTTTGTGTGCTTGTGTGCGCGTGTCCGTGTCTGTTTGTTTGTGCGTGTTTGTGTGTTTTTGTGGTGGTGGTGGTGGTGGTGGTGGTGGTGGTGGTGGTGGTGGTGGTGGTGGTGTGTGTGTGTGTACGCGTTCTGCTTGTGTTGTGTTGTGCTTGTGCTTGTGTTGTGTTGTGTTGTGTGGTGTGGTGTGGTGTGGTGTGGGCTGGTGTGGGGTGGGGTGTGGTGGGGTGGGGTGTGGTGGTGTGGGGTGTGGTGGTGTGGGATGTGGTGGTGTGGTGTGTGTGTGTGTGTGACCAGGTGCCTTGGCCATGGCAGCCCTGGCTGCTGAGACACTGGCGGAGGCGAGTGCTCTGAGCAGCGTGCAGTGCACCGTGGATGCGGTGCGGCACAACTCAAGCGTTTGCCGCGCATTGAAAAGCGGAAGGGCGCTCCTCCGGAAGCAGAAGCCAGAGAATGGGGCGCATTCGCTGAAGCCAGAGATCAATGTGACGTTTGCAGGAGCTCCTTGGTCGCTGGGCTGCGCTTAAAAGTTTTGCCCGAGAAATTCCGCTTGGAGTGAAGCGCAGCTGACCTCGAGGCCTTGGGGGCGACCTTTTGCCATCGTTGTGGCCATCGCCAAGGTCCAGGCCATCAACAAATTCGCTCACAGCGAGGGGCAAACACGGGGAATGTGTTGGTCACCAAATCATTCAGCTTTGGTGAGCCTGCAATCCTTGCAGGCAGTCGTGCATCACCCGGTGAGAACATCTCTCAGGACTGCAGTGACCCTGTCCACCTGCATGAGCGTTTTCATGAAGAGGACTCTGTGCAGAGCCGTCCATCAGTGATTCGGGGCGGCATTGAGGACGTGGTTTTTGGACGGCCGAGTTTGGAAGGCGGTGACTCGCAAGGAGTACGACCGCACCGTGCGCGATCTGATGTCACGTGTGCTGGGCCGCTCCGATGGTCTTGAGACGCCAGGCGGGCGAGAAAGCTCTGCAAGCTAACGGAGGAAGGGGATGCCCTTGACACCTTAGGGCCTTGGGGGACCTCTCCAGAACTGTCAATGGCCGCTCCAGTGTTTCCCCGGCAGGTGGCAGCCCGCAGAGAGTGATTGAGCCAGTGACCATGCAGTGAGTGTTTGTGCTACAACTGGGTACTACAGGCTGACAGTCAGAAAGACCGGGCTGCAAGTAACAGCCAATCAGGCTTGGCCACTGCTTGAGTCTGTGAGGTGGCTGTTTCGCATTCTTTAAAGGCTCATGGCGCAGAAGCGCAGTCCAAAAGACTGCATGAATTTGCAAGCTGGTTGTAGCAATGTGAGCCTGTCAACTCGACCAAGATGGTCCACCCGTGGCCTTTTGAATTAAGCCAATGCCAGAACCGTGCGTCTAAATTTGGGGCACGTAGGACAAAGGTTTCCGCTGTACACCAGCATGTTAGCCGTGAAGGGCTTCTCGTGAATTGCAAAACTTGCCTGGCAAAGCATGTGGAGAGGGAGTCTCGCGTCCAACTGACTGACATAGGTCGGATGAGTATATACAGTTGCTGCATCGCATGTGGCTTTGCAGCAACCTTCCAGCCAGAGCTTGAATACTCAAAGTTTAACAGGAGCAGAGCTTGTCATTTGCCTTTAGAAGGCCAGAGTCCAGAACCCGGAAGTGCTACATTTTGGAGATCGTCCGGTGCAAAGTGTTGCAACCATGGCCGCCCTTTGCACGCAGAGCAAGATCGAGGCAGGCGGACACTTCTTCCCCATATTTGTGTCAAACTAGAGGGGCCCCAAAAATTGATTTCGGTTGTCCTTTGGGTTGCCCTTCAAACCAATCCCAGATCGGGATATCCTCACAAAAATAAACAGCCACGAGCATCCATGTCTCTCGGACAAGGCAGCGCTCGCTAAGCAGCGCAGCTTTATGGACACCTGGGGTGCGCAGCAGGGGGCCAAGGTGGACGTCCCGGGAGCTTTGTGAGGTTCGGTTTGAGGGTCCAAATGGTTGGGAGGCATTGTAGGTTTCCCTCAGCCACACGAAGCGAGGCTTCCCAACACTGGGGTGGAAAATGCTGGTTGCGACAGATGCATTTTACAGCGGTTTATGGACTTTCGTGAATTCACGAATTCACGAGGCTGGAGCAGATGCTGCAGATGTGCGTCCTGCTTGTGCCTGTGCAGGAGGGTATGCCGAAAGTGTTTCGAACACTCGTCCACGCATGATGATTACCAAGTGCTAATTGCAGTCGACGCAGGAGGAGGACGATGACAAAGCAGGATTTTGGAGCCAGGCAAAGTTCTTGCCATTTTCACCGGTGAGATCAGGCAGTTGTGATTTGTGCAGGTTGTGTACTCGGTGAGCGATCTTTTTAACTTGCTGGCATCTCAGAGCTGCGCTTTGGGCACCTTCAGCTTGCAAAAGCGCAAAACTTCCCAACTGGCCCTCAGATATCGGACCGTGGTTTTGCGGAGCCCTGACGAGCCGGGCTCCTGGTGGACTGCCTGATTGCACAGAATAATTCATGTAGCTCTTGTTGTCCCCCGCCCAGGATTCCAGTTTGTGAGGAGGTGGATTCAGGCCGAGAACGCGGAGAACATTTATTGAATGTCTTAGTTTCAGTTGTTTTTGGTTGGCAAACACACGTCTTGCTTCGTCGGGAGAGGCAACATGGGTAACCCTGTGTTCTGCTGTGTTCTGCTCTCAGGTACTTTGGCGGAGCCCTCCAAGAAGCTGCGCCAAGACCGCGGGCGTTGCCTGCTTTCCGCTTTCCGAATTTTCCTGTTTTCGCTGCGAGCCGCGATGTGCTGCGACTAGTTTCCGTGGGCTCAGGGGCTGTGCTCCAAGCCTGTTTCGGCTTTCGCTCTTGACACCGGCTGTCTCTGTGTGGACACCTTGCCAGGCCTGAGTTACATGCTTGCCGCCTTCGCGCTGCGAGCGATCCGTTCCATCCAGGCCTGTGCATACACAGTCATGTTTGATGGGCTTTCTTAGGAATAGGCCATGCTCCCCCTCTTTCGCATAACAGGTGCTCATTGAAATGGATGCCTTCAGAAGAAAGGGCAGGAGCCTCAATGGATCTCTCGTTTGCGTGCAGTTGAACATATCATGAGCTTCAGCATGCCCAAGTCAAGACAGATTGCCCCCGTGAAGTTGTTGTCGGGCCACCTGCATGCTCACGCGTGGCAGGTTCAAAGCATGCGCTGCAAGTTTGCATGAGAATCGAGATTGTGAAGCTGGTGCCTGCCTTGAATGATCCAACAAAATTTGATTCAACTGGCCGGAGTGTTTGGCCAAGAGTTTGGCTTGTGTTTGTCTCCAAGCAGTGCAGGCACTCAAGATTTTCCTGCGCTTCCGCATGCCTTTCAACTTCTATGTTGATGAGGTAGGCGATATGTGTGTATGTGTCTGTCTGTCTGTCTGTCTGTCTGTCTGTGTGTGTGCACGTGTGCGTTTACGCTTTGTGGATTTGGCACCGACACAATTGTGCAAATTGCGTGTTGTACAGTCGGATGTGTAGACGTTTGAAGAGTCACGCCAACCGGGTGCGAACGACAGGTTGCAATTGAAGATGCTGAGCCGCCCAAGCTTTTGTGCTGCCGTCGCAGTTGAGTGCAGGCTTAACCGGGCGACCCTTGTGTCATGCGAGAGCGAATGCACATGAGACACAATCAAAACCAGGATAGCTGAAGGTTAGCAAGGGACAGTCCTAACCAAAAATAGGCGAAGAAATCCGCCCCTTCAATGCGTGGCCAGGGAGCAGCAACGAAATGCGCTTCTCGGCCAGAGCCAGAGACTTGCCTGGACTACATGCCGCCTAGGAGGTGTGCGTTGTTCTTGAGGGTTCCCTGGTTGGGGGAGCCACAAGTCCAAAAAAGAAATGGGGTCCTTTCTCTTTAAAACTTGTCTAACACATATCCATGGACGGGAGTGACTCAGGAATTCAACAGAGACTCCAAGCGGGCGCCCTAGTCTTGCAGTTTAGGTTTGCGGTGCCTACTCGGCGCCTTGGCTTTGGATGCCATTGGAGCGTAATGAAATAAGCTGTTGTGTGTGACGGAATCTCGAACCAAGTCATGATTAAAAAGCGAGGCTGCGTACATAGCACCAATCACTAACCATGACCTTGCTGATTGACGGGCAAACTAAACTCTCTGACTCTCTTTTTCTCTCGCTCTCTCTCTCTCTCTCATCCAGCTGAAGCTTGTAGTGTAATAGGGGGCAACCCAGTTAGTGGAATGCTTGATTTAATTTGTGCTTTCTCGGGACAGGCGGGACCCGACCTCTGATGCCTTGGTGAGGTGAGGTGGCTCCTGCGCCGTCAGCTTATGTGGGCAGGCAAGCCGAGATGTTGCTAAAGCCTTGCTGCAAAAGGAACTGGGCCAAAGATATGTATGACTCAAGATCTGCAGTGGTTCCTCGGAGGAGAGGTTGGGCAAGCCGTCTCTTTGCTCTTGTTTCCCCGCAAGGCGAACAGGCCGCTCGTTGAAGGTGCTGGAGGGCGCTGAGGAGCCTTCTCAGCCCGCAGCGCCGCTTCCGCCACCTCCGCGCGGGGACCTCAAGCGGCTCAGAGGGTACCTGCGCTCACGAATACAGCGCAGACCCCAGTTCGCAATGACGACACAACCCAATCGAATGCTCAAGCGCCTGTGCCATGCTCTGCACTCTTCCACGACCCCCTTCGACGGCGCCTGCCCACGGCACCATGGTGCACCTTCGTTTTGCGCAATCTAAAGAGTTTTGCTTGTCACTGGAAACATGTGTTCTCAACTTGCTCCCAGGGGACGATATTCGCAAACTTGGGTGTTCAACCAACTCGGTAACTATGGTAACTGGGCTGATCGTCTCCTTATAACCATAGCTAGTTGCTTACTACTAAGTAGCTTGAATTCCCAAGAATGGCTTAACGACGAGTGGCTCGTGGCTCTCCCAGAATTCTCGATAAACCTGCGCAGTTGGTACTCACACTCGCCAGAAGCACCCTGCAACAGCACCCTGCAACAACTCGTAGCCACACTGTCAAGCAACACACTGCACCCCAGGAAAGCACCCTGCCAAGATTCCTACTTGCTCCCTGATCCATCATCCTCCAACTTCAGCTCCGTGCGCTCGGCCTCCAAATACCCTTTCTGCAGCTAGAAGTTCACTCCGTTGCCTGTGCCAGGTGTGGCACATGGCCTCCGCAGCGCTTGGCACTCTGACAGCTAAACAAAGAGCACACCGAGCTCTGCTGCAGCTGTTTGCCAAGAGACTGCGCTGAGGACTGCACACCTCACACCTTGCAAATCGCAGTGGCTGAGGCGGCGGAGAAATTGGGTCAGCGTGGTGCATGGCAAACCTGAGCTGTATGAGGTTCTGTACCATTGTCGACCTCTGATCCACCTGGCCATGCTGCGGCGACGGGGGCGAAAGTCCTGGGCGGTTGGTCGCCCAGACCACGTGAGAAAGATGGGAGCTAACTTTCATGCCTTGCCGCTTGAAGTTTGGGTCCAGGCATGGTTTGCTGCCGTGCTGCTGGAGCGTTTGTCAGTGGCTGGGGCACTCAGTCCGCTTTCTTCTTCCCCACACTTGTTATTTACACGCTGACGCGACACAGCCGGCCACCGGGCACCTTGCCCTGCTCGTTCTGTGACTTCCCTTTCCTGTAAGTCCGATTAATAGATGTTAAGATTTTCAGATTCTAAAAACTTTGAGATTCTAAGGGTCTCAGATTTGAAGACTGTCGGAATTTAAGGTTTCAATGGTTTAAGAATTAAGGTTTTAAGATTCAAAGATTTAAAGTTTTTGAAGGTTATAACAGCCAGGCCATTGCCCAGCCATTTTCCATCTATTATCAGATTTCGAAGGCTTTAAGATTTTATTTTTCGGAGATTTTCAGATTTGGCGACTTTCGGAATTTAAGATTTTAAGATCTCAAGATTTCAAGGCTTCAAAGTTTCAAGATTAAGAGTTTAAGGAATTTAAAATATAGCCCGGATTGAAGGAATTTTATTATATTTTACTTGTTTATGAAGTTAAGATTTTCAGATTGCAATAGTTCGAGATTTAAAGAATTTAAGTTTTGAAAGCTTTTCAGATTCTGAGATTTTAAGACTTTGAGAATTTAGGAAGTTCATATTTTTAGATTTTAACATCTGAAGATTCAAAGATATTCGGGTTTTAAGAAGTCAAGATTCGAAGACTTTAGGATGTTTATATTTTCAGATTGTAAGATTCGATCTTCTAAGGTTGTAAGTTTAAGATCTTGAGGTTTCAAGATTTCCAAATTTCAAGAGTAAGAGTTTAAGACTGTAGGAATTTCATATTTTTAAGAGTTTAAGATCGCAAGATTCTAAGACATAAGGGTTTCAAGATTTCAAGATTCGAAGACTTTAGGATGTTTTTATATTTTCAGATTTTAAGATTCTAAGTTCGAAGATTTTAAGATCTCGAGATTCTAAGATTGATTGTTAGATTTTAATTTAAGATTTTAAGAATCTAAGACTTTAGGATTTTGAGATTTCAATCCAGGCCATTTTCCATCCATTTTCCATCCACTTTAAGATTTTAAGATTTTCAGGTTGCACGTGTTCGGCAAAGTTGGCCCGACTTAGGGGACACCATCCCCAGCATCCCCCGAGACTTTAGGATGTTTTTATATTTTCAGATTTTAAGCTTTAGGATTTTGAGATTTCAATCCAGGCCATTTTCCATCCATTTTCCATCCACTTTAAGATTTTAAGATTTTCAGGTTGCACGTTTTCGGCAAAGTTGGCCCGACTTCGGGGACAACATCCCCAGCATCCCCCGCATCACTGGCATCATCCGCATCAATGTCGCCAAGGATGCGGATGATGCAGGTGATGCCGGGGATGTTGTCCACTATGGGCACCCCCCAAAAACACTCGTTTTTTGATTCTGCGGGGGAGATGCTCAAAAAGCCGCCAAAAATCGCCTGAACAAATCCGCAAATCCTTCGCCCCTTATAAGGGTGGGCCCAGCTTGGCGCAGCGCAAAAGTATAGCGCATGGTCGGCGGCACAGGGCGGCCGGCCCTGTACCTGAAGGTAGGCCCTCCGGGCCTAGGCCTTCGGCCGTATCACGGACCACGGGGTCTGAAGCCCCGGTGGCCGGATTTACACGCTGACGCGACACAGCCGGCCACCGGGCACCTTGCCCTGCTCGTTCTGTCACTTCCCTTTCCTCTAAGTCCGATTAGTAGATGTTAAGATTTTCAGATTCTAAGAACTTTGAGATTCTAAGGGTCTCAGATTTGAAGACTGTCGGAATTTAAGGTTCAATGGTTTAAGAATTAAGGTTTTAAGATTCAACGATTTAAAGTTTTTGAAGGTTATAACAGCCAGGCCATTGCCCAGCCATTTTCCATCTATTATCAGATTTCGAAGGCTTTAAGATTTTATTTTTGTGAGATTTTCAGATTTGGCGACTTTCGGAATTTAAGATTTTAAGATCTCAAGATTTCAAGGCTTGAAAGTTTCAAGATTAAGAGTTTAAGGAATTTAAGATATAGCCCGGATTGAAGGAATTTTATTATATTTTACTTGTTTATGAAGTTAATATTTTCAGATTGCAATAGTTCGAGATTTAAGGAATTTAAGTTTTGAAAGCTTTTCAGATTCTGAGATTTTAAGACTTTGAGAATTTAGGAAGTTCATATTTTTAGATTTTAACATCCGAAGATTCAAAGATATTCGGGTTTTAAGAAGTCAAGATTCGAAGACTTTAGGATGTTTATATTTTCAGATTGTAAGATTCGGTCTTCTAAGGTTGTAAGTTTAAGATCTTGAGGTTTCAAGATTTCCAAATTTCAAGAGTAAGAGTTTAAGACTGTAGGAATTTCATATTTTAAGAGTTTAAGATCGCAAGATTCTAAGACATAAGGGTTTTAAGATTTCAAGATTCGAAGACTTTAGGATGTTTTTATATTTTCAGTTTTTAAGATTCTAAGTTCGAAGATTTTAAGATCTCGAGATTCTAAGATTGATTGTTAGATTTTAATTTAAGATTTTAAGAATCTAAGACTTTAGGATTTTGAGATTTCAATCCAGGCCATTTTCCATCCATTTTCCATCCACTTTAAGATTTTAAGATTTTCAGGTTGCACGTTTTCGGCAAAGTTGGCCCGACTTCGGGGACAACATCCCCAGCATCCCCCGCATCACCGGCATCATCCGCATCAATGTCCGCCAAGGATGCGGATGATGCAGGTGATGCCGGGGATGTTGTCCACTATGGGCACCCCCCAAAAAACACTCGTTTTTTGACTCCGCGGGGAGATGCTCAAAAAGCCCTTGAACAAATCCGCAAATCCTTCGGCCCTTATAAGGGTGGGCCCAGCTTGGCGCAGCGCAAAAGTTCGGCGGTGGGTCGGCGGCACAGGGCGGCCGGCCTTATACCTGAAGGTAGGCCCTGCGGGCCTAGGCCTTCGGCCGTATTACGGACCACGGGGTCTGAAGCCCCCGGTGGCCGGATTTAAGGGCTGCCGCCCAGTGCCGCCGACCCCAAACCAGTTTGGGAATGGCTGAAATGAACGGGGCCGCTTCAAAATGGGGCCGCGATGGGTCCCCTCTTGTAGCCAGGGTGCGGTGCATTTTTGCTTTGCTTTCGCGTGAAAATGCACCGCTTTTATGATGATGATGATGATGATGATGATGATGATGATGATGAACTGACATGATAATCATCATGACGCATCCTTAGCATCACCAGCAGTCATCCGTTTTCTTTCCTTGGCTTGGTGCATTTTTGTAATAATCTTGTAAGAAAATGCACCGCTTTGATGATGATGATGATGATGATGCTGAGCTGACATGACAATCTGATGACGATGATCATGATGATGATGATGATGAACTGACATGATAATCATCATGACGCATCCTCAGCATCACCAGCAGTCATCATGATGATGATGAACTGAGATGGTGGTCATTATCGTCATCATCATCATCATCATCATTGTAATCATCATCATCGTCATCATCGTCATCATGATCGTCATCATCATGGATGATAACCATCATCGTGCATCCTCTGCATCACCAGCAGTCATGATGATAATCATGTCTACGCATCCTCTGCATCTCCAATCAGGTCACAACGATGATGTTGTGATGATGATGAGCGTGTCATCATCACCATGATGGTGGTCATTATCGTCATCGTCATCATCGTCATCACAATCGTCATCAGCATGGATGATAACCATCATCGTGCATCCTCTGCATCACCAGCAGTCATGATGATAACCATGACTACGCACCCTCTGCATCTCCAATCGGGTCTAACGCTACCCTTGAAACGTATATGAAAGATAAGGACGACAACGATCATGATGTGATACACTGACAAGCGTGTCATCATCATCATCATCGTCATCATCATCAGCATCATCCTCGTCATCGTCCTCGTCATCATCACCGTTATCATCATCGATGATAACCATCATCGTGCATCCTCTGCATCACCAACAGTCATGATGATAATCATGTCTACGCATCCTCTGCAGGTCACAACGATGATGATGTGGTGATGACGAGCATGTCATCATCACCATGATGGTGGTCAGTATCGTCATCATCATCATCAGCGTCATCATCATCATCGTCATCATCGTCATCATCATCGTCATCATCATCGTCATCATGATAACCATCATCGTGCATCCTCTGCATCGCCAGCTGCAGTCATGATGATAATTATGTCTACGGATAACGGTGATGATGACGAGGACATCATCACCATGATGGTGGTCATCATTGTTGTGACCCGATTGGAGATGCAGAGGATGCGTAGACATGATTATCATCATGACTGCTGGTGATGCAGAGGATGCACGGTGATGGTCATCATCGATGATGATAACGGTGATGATGACGAGGACGATCATCATCATCACATCATCATCGTTGTGACCTGATTGGAGATGCAGAGGATGCGTAGACATGATGTTGTCGTCCTTATCTTTTTGAAAAACGTTTCAAGGGTGACAAAAGAGCCGATTTGAGGCGCAGAGGGTGCGTAGTCATGATTATCATCATGACTGTTGGTGATGCAGAAGATGCACGATGATGGTCATCGTCCATGCTGACAACGGTGATGATGACGATGACGATGATGATGATGATGATGCTGATGATGATGATGCCGATGATGACCACCATCATGGTGATGATGACATGCTCGTCATCATCACATCATCATCGTTGTGACCTGATTGGAGATGCAGAGGATGCGTAGACATGATGTTGTCGTCCTTATCTTTTTTATTTACGTTTCAAGGGTGACACGGTGATGATGACGCTGACGATGATGATCATGATGCTGATGGTGATGACGATGATGATGATGCCGATGATGACCACCATCATGGTGATGATGACATGCTCATCGTCATCCATCCTCTACATCTCCAAGCAGGTCACAACGATGATGATGTGATGACGATGAGCATGTCATCATCACCATGATGGTGGTCATCATCGGCATCACCATCATCGTCATCACCATCAACATCATCCTCGTCATCGTCATCACATCATCATCGTTGTGACCTGATTGGAGATGTATAGGATGCGTAGACATGATTATCATCATGACTGCTGGTGATGCAGAGGATGCACGATGATGGTTATCAGATTGGAGATGCAGAGGGTGCGAAGACATGTGACTGTTGGGATGCAGAGGATGCACGATGATGGTTATCGTCCATGATGACAACGGTGATGATGACGACGTCGTCATCGTCATCATCAGCAGCATCATCATCATCATCGTCATCGTCATCATCGCCGTTGTCATCACGGACGAAAACCATCATCGTGCATCTTCTGCATCACCAACAGTCATGATGATAATCATGTCTACGCACCCTCTGCATCTCCAATCGGCTCTAGCGTCACCCTTGAAACGTATATAAAAAGATAAGGACGACAACATCATGTCTACGCATCCTCTGCATCTCCAATCAGGTCACAACGATGATGATGTGATGATGATGAGCAAGTCATCATCTCCATGATGGTGGTCATTATCGTCATCATCATCATCATCGTCATCATCATCAGCATCATCCTCGTCATCGTCCTCGTCATCATCACCGTTATCATCATCGATGATAACCATCATCGTGCATCACCAACAGTCATGATGATAATCATGTCTACGCATCCTCTGCATCTCGGATCAGGTCACAACGATGATGATGTGATGATGATGAGCGTGTCATCATCTCCATGATGGTGGTCATTATCGTCATCATCATCATCATCATCAGCATCATCCTCCTCATCGTCGTCATCATCATCGTCATCATCATCGTCATCATCATGGATGATAACCATCATCGTGCATCCTCTGCATCGCCAGCAGTCATGATGATAATCATGTCTACGCACCCTCTACATCTCCAATCAGGTCACAACGATGATGATGTGATGATGATGAGCGTGTCATCATCACCATGATGGTGGTTATTAATCATCATTATCATCATCGTCATCAGCAGCAGCATCATCATCATCATCATCGTCATCGTCATCATCACCGTTGTCATCATGGACGATAACCATCATCGTGCATCTTCTGCATCACCAACAGCCAATGATAATCATGACTACGCACCCTCTGCATCTCCAATCGGCTCTAACGCTACCCTTGGAAACATCATGTCTACGCAGCCTCTGCATCTCCAATCAGGTCACAACGATGATGATGTGATGATGATGAGCATGTCATCATCACCATGATGGTGGTCATTATCATCATCATCATCGTCATCATCGTCATCATCGTCATCATCTTCATCATCGTCATCATCACCGTCACCACCATGGATGATAACTATCATCGTGCATCCTCTGCATCACCAGCAGTCATGATGATAATCATGACTACGCACCCTCTGCATCTCCAATCGGGTCTAACGCTACCCTTGAAACCTATATAAACAAGATAAGGACGACAACGATTATGATGTGATATACTGACAAGCGTGTCATCATCATCATCATCGTCATCATCATCAGCATCATCCTCGTCATCGTCATCGTCATCATCACCGTTACCATCATCGATGATAACCATCATCGTGCATCCTCTGCATCACCAACAGTCATCAACATGATAGTCATGTCTACGCATCCTCTGCATCTCCAATCAGGTCACAACGATGATGATTTGATGTTGATGAGCATGTCACCATCACCCTGATGGTGGTCATGATCGTCATCATCAGCATCATCGGCATCATCATCATCGTCATCATCGTCATCATCGTCATCATCGTCATCATCATCGTCATCATCATCGTCATCATCATGGATGACCACCATCGTGCATCCTCTGCATCACCAGCAGTCATGATGATCATGTCTACGCATCCTCTACATCTCCAATCAGGTCACAACGATGATGATGTGATGACGATGAGCATGTCATCATCACCATGATTGTGGTCATCATCGTCATCATCACCATCGTCATCATCATCAGCATCATCATCATCATCGTCATCGTCATCATGGACGATAACCATCATCGTGCATCTTCTGCATCACCAAGAGTCATGATGATAATCATGGCTACGCACCCTCTGCTACGATGACGGTATTGCTTACGCTGATAATGTTGAATCTTCGGCTATGCTCATTTACCAACCAACCTGGGACTTGTGCTGTAACCACCCTTCCCGTGCGCCTCCCCCTTTGAGGAGAAGGGGTCGGCGGATTTGTTGCTCAGCTCAGGGCCTGCTGATGATGGAGCTGCGGAACAAGACAGGCAGCCGCGCGGCGGCGCTGGAGGCAGCCGAGGCCTGGCCCCGGCCCGGCAAAGCGCATGTTGAAAGGAGCCTTTGATAGGGAACGTCGGAAGGGATGGGAATGGGTCACGCCCCCCTTTTGTGGACCTGTTTTATGCTTATTGTCCGTGCGAGTTTCAGAAAGCCTTAAAGCCGTGATGCTAAGAGACCACGAAGCAACATTACACACATTCAGAGAAGCAACCTTCAGAAAACAGACGCCACTCAGATCACAATGTGGAAGCGAGAGAGCAGGGAAGGATTCGGACGGATGGCTTGGGACACTGGGTTGGCAAACCGCCCAGACAATTTCCATGGCCAAGTTGAGATGAGAACTAGACTCACAAAAGTGCCTTGTGATGTGATTATCGGTACTTTTTGCCCGCTGGGTTGAGTCACGATAAGTCCATACTAAAAAGAAGACGCATTGTGCGTCTCTGGTTCATGGATTGGTTTGGGGGTGGATTAGGGTGTATGTTGGATTGAGTGATGTTGGGTTCAGAGTTGGTTCAGAGCTGACTTAGAGTCGGTTCAGGGGTTGAATTGTAATTGAGCGTTTGGGTGTGCTCAGGGGGTCCTCGGTTTGAAAGTTTGGTACAGTGTCTGTCTGGATGGGCGCAGCACAAAGCCAAGGTAAGCAGTCCTTTTGGCAATCTTGCTCAGATCCGCCTTGTTGTTTGTCCTTCCTGTGACAGCTGATGCTTCCCGCTGGCTAACAGAACAGTACAGGGGATCCTCAAGTGTGAATTTGTGCGATCTACTTTTCTAAGAAAACCCACGCTTCTGAATTGAGGTCAGCAGGCGGCACAACCAGATATGGTGGGCGTTGGTCAGGCCTTGCCTATGCAAGTTGCTATGCAGCACAGCTTGATTGGAACCTGCTGTGATGGATGAATAAAGGTGTCGGGGTGTTCTCCAGGTCACCATGTTTTGACAAGATCTTGAGACGCCCTGCTGAGACGTTGGCCGGGACCCCGGCTCGACTCCGAAAAGTTTGGTGTCACTTGCAAATATTGAGGACTGGGTCCTCAAAAAGATTCCTGTATGGACCTGAGTCGCACATTCAGCATATTTTCAAAAAATAATCCATGGTTCCTGCAAGGTCATCAACATGTTTAACATCGTGGAGCTGTTCATGGTTCTGCAGCCCTTTTACTTCTCCACATCAGGCGATGATGATCACATCAAATTGGACATTCAAGTCTGCTCCTTGACCATTTCCGACCAGGATCATAAACGCGACAATGAAAAAATGATTACATCAATTATCATAGATCATCCGATCAAACGGAACCATTGAAGTCATCTGAATCATACTGTTAATTTTACTATGATTCTAATATGGCACTTGTTGTCCACATATATATCAATATATCAATATATATATATATATATGGTACCCCCCCTGGAATACTCAGGTTTTGGGCCAGAAATTGACATTTTGGCTGTAAAAATGCATGCAAAACACACGTTCCAGCTTCTAAAATCAGGCTCTAAAAAAAGGCACTCCTTTTTAGACTTGAATTCTAGCATCGGTACTTAGTGCAATCCAGGATGTGCTAGCACGTGCTAGCACATCCTGGATTACTCTAAGTACATATTTGGAGAATTTCAGAAAGAGTTGTCAGAGAATCTTGAATCTCCCATCCAGATCCTGGATTGCCTTAAGTGCGGATTTGAAGAATCCCAAAGGCAGACCGGGAGTGCACGTTGTCAGAATCAAAATGTGGATGTGCACTTGCACTGCCTGCAATTGGCCAGGGGGGAAAAATGTTGCTGACACCTTTACATTTTTCTGTGGACTTGAGGGCTGGCCAGGATGGAAGATTCTCAAATAGAAAATCTGGTAGATCTTCAATCTTCAACGCAGGGGGCGAAACCTTGATGAGTCTAGAACAAACTGTCAAGTTTTTGGGGGACCAGGATTGAGTACATTCTAAACATATGTTGATGTTTGTGGAATCTTGTATATTTGATGTTCGATCCAGGGCAACACGATCTGAGCAAATGCTGAAAACGCTGCGTGAAACAGCATTTATGCAAAACATAGGATCTATGATTGAAAACACGTTCCTGTCATTGGCTTGGCTCAGTTCTTGCTTGGTTCAAACCACATGGAGTTCGAAGGACAATGACCCTTTCAAAATTGAGTTTGATTCCAAACTCATTCGGCCATGACAATAGCTATCTTCTCCAGTTGATTTTTGAAATGCACAAGAAACTGCAAACGAGTAAACTTGAATTTGGTTTGAACTCGAAAGTTTGTTTTGACGGGATATTCTTCCCTTACTTGAATTGCAATAGTTGTTAGTGGCGATGATGGAGCCAAAATAGACAAGCAACACACACACACACGTGGGATAGTTGCTTTGCAACATATGTTTCAAATAGGCTGAACTAGCATGTCAGGAATTATGCACAACACTCGAGTTAACATGTAAATGCAACTGCGCAAGGACATGAATTAGGAATGAGTTCCTTTTCCCCGAGTTGATGTTTTGCCGCATTTTGCTGCCTATTTTGCGCACTACTCCTGTACTGAACAGTTGTGTTTTTTGAGCTGGAGCTGCCAAATTGCACTTTGCATACTCCAATGTGACTTTAAGTGCACTTCGCGCACGCCAATGTGACGGTCACACAACTCGCAACTCCTTATCAACGTTGAGCTTAACTTCTGCTTGGTTAGAATTTGCATGGAGTTGAGTGTCCAGTTCATTTCAGAGTCTCAAGGCATTTGTTACCCCCAGTCTGGCCAAAAGCCTCAGTTCTGTCCAAAAACCTGAGTATTTCAAGGGGGGTAGCATATATACATATACAAAGATTCTCGCCATGCGTTTGCACAACGAATTATGCTTAACAACATACATATGTATGTATATTAATATATCGATTATATGTATATGTACACATACACACACATGCACTAAACATTTGATATGTACCAACTGCATATAAGAACGAGTTGTGCTGGTATGACACTATTCTGTTATGCATGTTGTATAGTCTATAAATATTGAGGGCTGGGGGACTGTGGGGGTGCACTTTTTTGTTGATTTGTGCTGTGTTGCGTTGTTCCTCTTATGTACTTGTGGATGTGTGTGTGTTGGTGTGTTTGTTTCCGTGTGTGTGTGTGCACGTTATTTTGATGTCATTGCATGTTCTTGTATGTTCTGTCACTGCAAATGCACATGTAGTCATTTGGGCCAAGTACCACCTTACTTGTCCCTGGCCTTTTTTGTGATTGCCATGGCTCATCCAGTGCGAGTGCGTGAGCCAGTGGCTAGCTTCGAGTATGACATGGCGGGGCAGGATGGGGCCCTCACCTTTGATGAGGCGGTGAACCAAGTGGCAGGATGCAAGCTGACTGGTCCAGAAAGCCGCCCTATGAAATCCGATAGGCCTCCCGGAGATATATCCATCAAAGATCTCCCAATTCGCTTTTTGGATCCTCAGGTGGGCTCCAAATTGGAGCAGTTTTGTGATGTCATCCCAAACCATCCAGGCACAATCTTGCAGCAATTCTTCGATGATGTTGTCTATAAGAAGCGCGCACAGAGTCTCTACAAGGAGCTACCCGAGCCTTGGCGTCTTCGCAAAGAACCTTCTGTGCCCTACAGCGTGCAGATTGTCATCCTGCCTGATCCATCAACCCCCAATGCAGAGAATGGTGCCCGGGAAAGTGTCCTCATTTTCAAGCACGTCTACCTCCACAAAAACAAGCTTCCAGTGAAGGACTGCTCAGATTGTTGCTGTGGAATGGCCATGAAGTTTGATTGGGGAACCCATACCAGGGTGGCATTGATGGCATTCAACTTCATGTTGGATAAGGTCGGTGGCAAGCAAATTCGGTTCTGGTGTGTTCAGCCCAAGTTCCAGAAGAAGCTCACGATCGACAACCAGGCCCGTGCAGACGGCTACCGCTTCATTAGGGACCAAGGCCCACGTGCCAATAACCAGAACCAATTCATGGACGGACGAACAGATCCACACCCCAGGGAGTCCCATTGAAGGATGGCAGGAAGGCAAAGTCAACCAGGCCTTGCACAATTACATGCGCGGACGGCAAAATGCCAAAACCTTGGAGTACTGGCCTTTCACCCTTAAGAGCTTCGTCGATTGGTTCTTTGATGGCGTCCTTGTCACCATGTTGCCCTCCATCCTCCAGCATGGGATCACATGGATAGGCAGGACACGAACTGGGAAGTCGCTTGGGTCCAAGACCATTCTCTTCGCCCAGTCCAAGTTTGAGATCGACCGGGATGAGCGTGAGGATTTGGTGCCCTCCATTGTCACAGCCAAACACTTGGATTTCTTCAAAGCGGAACCCATTACCAAGTATAAGCCCGGCGTCTTCGATGATGGCATGCTCCAGAAAATGGATGCCTCATTCCTCAAAGCTTTCCTCAACCCATCTGACCCTTAGCTGTAATAGCAATCGAGTGACACTTTCTCTAAGAAAAACCTGCTTTGGCTCAGGAAGAAGATGCGACAGTGTGGGCGCGGTACTCATCTGCCCAATTTGACCAGGGTGCAGGCAGACAGGCGTGCAACAACCCCTATGACAAAGCCGTGGACGACAAAGTCTATGCAGACATGAAGGCAAAGAAGATGTGGACTATCCCCCATTCTGACTTCATGAACCTCATTCAGCCCTCCTTCAGCGGTGTCGATGACATGGAGGATATGAATGCGATCCTCGCCCGGACCCACATCATTGTCATTACAGAGAACGGTGTGTATTGGAGAGTTGCCTCGACCCAGCACGAGAACGTGAACTTCATTGAATGGCCATCGGCCCAAGGACTTGCTCGCGCCATCTCAGAAGCCCATCTTTGAAGCTTACAAGCGGGACCCTCACAAGCACACTTTGCCTCCCAATTTCATTGAGGACTCCATCTGGTCCCAGACCCTGTTGAAGAAGCTGTTCAATGGGGAGACCATTCCAAGATCATACACTATCCGCACCCCAGCTCCTCTTTTTGGTGGTGAAAGACAGCCTCCCCGACAAGTCTCTCCCAGGCTGATGCCCGAAAGTGAGATGCGCATCAAGGTTAAGAAAGAGCAGGTTGACTCCGTGTGGAAGCAGCTCAAAAGGCAAGGGCCCGAATGAGGAGGAGCATGCCACAGAGCCAGCCTCTTCAAGCAACCCAGCCAAGCCTTGCAAACCCTCGTCTGTGCCTGCCCCCCAAAACAGCACTGCGGTGCCCGCCAACCCGGACTTCCTAGGTGATATTGGCTCTGACAATGGATTCCCTGCTGTTGGTGAGACAGAGGACCTCGAGCAGGAGCTTGCCCACATCTTGGATAACATGGATGACTTCCCTGACAACACAGAGATTCAGCCCTCTGATGAGCCCAGCCTTTCCCCCGCAATGGAACCTTCCGAGGAACAAGCTCAGCTTCTCGGCAAGGTTTCGGAGGGTGTTCCGAACCCACCCAACGAGCCGGCCCAACTTCTCGGCACGGATTCCGAGGATGTTCAGAGCCATTCGAGGGATGTTCCGCACCCACCCGTTGAGCCAGCCCCTTCTCGTAACTCACCTTCTTTGAATGTGGATGATGACATGGATGTGGTAGAGAGCGAGTCAGCGGAGGGTGGCACCAGTGAATTGGATGCGTTCCAGGATGTCTGCGGGGTTAAAGTCTTGCAGTGGCTTGGTATACCCGTTCCGCACACATGCAACGGCCCATTCAAGGTGTCAGACCTCAATGGCATGATCAAACCATTCGGTGTCAAGCTCACGCACGTGCACAAGGTCAGGGTCTCATGCAGCGGCAAGTTCCTTTGTCATGCCCAAGGTCACTTCACTGGCATAAAGCTTGTCGAAGGCTTCGTCATTGAGTATGACAATGATGTCCTCACTCACTTGAGCATGGGGGGCTTGTATGACTACCTGCAGCAAGAGGGCCGCACTATCTTTGCCTTGCAGAAAGTCAACCACGATGACCTTATCACCTCCCCGACTTTGACCCAACAGGTGGATCCACACGGGGGGTCATGAAGAGGCCTGCTTCCATTGCTCCCATCCCGCCAGCAGTGCCCCGGTATCGCCCCCTCACTCAGTGCACATGCCCAGGTTGTGAAGGAAATCTCACCCACAAGCGGTTTGTGAATGCTATTTGCTATGATCTCAATGGTCCTGTTTCCGTTCTTCATGAACAAAAGGTTTGCACTTCCCGCAACTTCGCACCAGCTACGGCCACAACTACAAGTGGGAGAATGGCAAGAAGATCAACACCATTGGCATCCAACAGTTAGGCAACAGTGTGCTGTTTGTCAACTCCAAGAAGGCGTTCACTCTGAACTTCTTGAAGTGCCATGAAGAGCTAATGTTTTGCGGTCACGTGAGCGCGCTCGCGGTGGAGCATGCGTACTTCGCAACCCACAGCCCACACATGTCCAGTGAGAATGACATTATCGTGGACTTCCGCAAGCTCTATCACACGGGTCTGTTCTACTACCTTGCATTGAAAGAGTTCCAACCTCTCGATCGCCACCTTTCCATTGTCATAGATGATGAAGTCCCTGACAACACGATTGAGCTGTACGATGCCTACTGCCACGGGACCCTCTTTCCTCCTATGAACAAGCAAAAGGTCAAGATCGTGGTAGGGGATGGCAACATGCGCCTCAACATGTTGTGCCAGGAGGGCCCTAAAAGGAGGACTGGCCGACCTCGTGCAGGGCGAGCAAGCGTTGGCAAACATGCCAACGGGTGGTTCATGGTGTGCGACCCCTCCACGGGCAAGATCCTAGGCTTGCGTGTAATGAAGGAGCCAGAGAACACCCAGCACGTGCTCCAAATGCTTGATGCAGTGGTGTGGCTGTACCCGAAGCTGAACACCTTTGTCTACGATCGGGCTTGCTCCATTGTCCGCGCTGCTCATGAGGAAGACAGCCTTGGGCAAATCGAGCACTACATCGTGGATTGGTTCCACGCCTACCGCCACAACAGCAAGTGCAAATGCAACCCCAGTGCCTCATCTGTAAGTGAGTTGTTTGCATTCTAGTTTCTCGAACATTGTTTCGCCAAGGAAAGGTTCGGAAGCTTGGCAAGATCGTCAAGAATGTCAACACAAGCATTTGCGAACAGATATTCTCTTGGTTTCGCCACTACTCTACAGCCTTCAACGAGCTCCGCACCAACAGGCACAAGTTTGTGATGCTGTACATGGCAAAGCGCCACAACCTCGCCGTGGAAGCCAACCAGGCACAGTATCTTCGCCCAGATCCTCGTAAGAGCCTCGCTTCTAAGTCTTGCACCTGTGGTAGCAAGAAGGCCATGAAGGGCAGGAAGCTCATGAAGGCAATGAGGGTCATGAAGGCCATGAAGAAGTAGATGTGAGTGGGATGTGAGTAGATGAAGAAGTAGCAATTGTTTTGCATCTGATGGCTCATGGCAAAAAAAAAGCTGCAGCTCTTCTGCCATTCTCCAAGAAGGACAATTCCTCTGCCACCACCCAAGAAAACAATGCAAATGAGCAAGCGCCGCAAACCAAAAAAAACTCGAGAAACCCAAAAAAACCTCGAGAAAGCTAAGAAAACAAAAAAACTTCGAGAAAACCAAAAAAACTCGAGAAAACCAAAAAAACTCGAGAAAACCAAAAAACAAAAAAAACCTTGAGAAAACCAAAAAAACAAAAAAAAGCAAAAAACACCATTCATGGGGCACTCTTGCTGAGCTGGGCTGTCTTGAGGAAGAGTCTCTGAGGAATGTTTTTTTTTTTGGCTTTTTTTTGTTTTTTTGGTTTTCTCGAGGTTTTCTTGTTTTTTTTTGGTTTTCTCGAGTTTTTTTGTTTTTTTTTGGTTTTCTCGAGGTTTTTTTTGGTTTTCTCGAGGTTTTTTTGGTTTTCTCGAGTTTTTTGGTTTTCTCGAGGTTTTTTTGGTTTTTTGAAGATAACCAACAAAAGGCACACAAAAAAAGAAGAAAACCACACAACAAGAAACACAGGAAGCAAGCAGAAAAACAGAAGAAACCGCACCCCCAGGGTCCCCTGTTCTGTAAATATTATACACCTTTTTAGAGATATGTGTCTACAAGTTTATCCTAAGTGAAGTTATGCAGATGCAATGCTATGCCATGATATATTTCATTATATAACATACCATGCTATATCTTTTTGCTGATTGATCGTGGTTGGGTTGACGGATTGTTTCGAAGGTTTAAGCTTAAACAATTTTGTTCAAGCGTTGTGTTCGTTTATTATTTGTATGATTTCAAGCTGACAATCATTTTGTTAGTCACGAATGACATATATGTATATGCATATATATATAGGTAATATGTATGCAGCGTAACATTTGACGCAAGTGCAATTTTGTCGCGAGCAAGCGTATTCCGACACCTGTTTGCTGTTGTCGTCAGAGCTGCAAGCTTGGCATTTGCGTGCGTGGACATGATTTGGCCTCGAAGGATGTTTCACCGAACAATGGAATAAGCCGCGAGAACCAAATGCCACCGTTGTTCTTGGGCAATTGTTGTGTAACTTTATATCGTTGAACAAACATATTTGCAAGCACATCCCGTGCCATGCATGTGTTTCAGAATTGTACAGCATGTTTGAACAAGTCCATCGCAACTTCCTTCCATATGTGTTGCAGCGGTGGAGGCTGCCAGCACCGATGCATGGCATTTTGCCTCCCCTGCCTCATGCTGTAAAGGACTATGTAGCAAAAGTCCAGTTGACGGTAATCTTCATTGATATACACAATGTGGATTGCCGGAATCTGACTGTACATGCGTGCAGGAAAGACCGCAGCATCGGAAAGCTGTCATTGCACGCGTATCAGCGCGAAGTTCCGTGTTGGCTGGGTTGGATGATTTGGACCGAAGAAAACGCGAGGCAGGCCAGTTGAAATTGTGCAGCATATGTTGCCCAGGAAGGCTGCCACTTGCCCTGAGGTGGCGTTAGCAGCAGTTTCTGTAAATGGCATTGCGCTTCAATGGGCGCCCGACACTTGACTGAGTCACAGCTGCTTTGACCAGAGATTGGCAGTTTGAAGCTGTGTTGTGTCAAGGAGCGGTTGAGAAAGGACAAGGAAATTGCAATGGCAGCTGTGGCGAATGCTGGGCAAGCTTTGAAGTATGTGAACAAGGACTAACAAGCATGCATTACGATGCACGTAGGTTTTTGCGTGTTCTAATTTCGATTGCTTTTGATTCAGCTGCTAGGGCTGATTTCGTAGCATCCTACCCATTGAATTGTCCCCTGAAACGCAGCGCTCCTTGGCAAAGGCGAAGGCCCCAACATTGGCCCAAGACGTCAGGAGCTGCAGAGCGATCGCGATGTCGTTTTGGCCGCGATTCGGCAGAATGGGTTGGCATTATTGTTTGCTTCGCCGAGATTGCAGCGGGACAAGGTGCGGTTGGGGAAAGCGTTGGCATGGCTGCGATCTTTGATTTTGAGACGGCGCACCATTTCGTGGTTCAGTGATGAGATATTTTTTGGTTGTCAAGACAAGTTTGTGCTGAAGTGCGGAGGAGTTGGTGCTCGAAGCTTGCCAACGTGACGGTTCAGCGCTTCATTTTGCATGTGTTCCTTGCCCAGCAGTAGGCAAGCGCATGGTTGTGTGTAAGTTTTATACTGCATCATGGATTGACAGGTGTTTTCCTTTTGGTTTCCCTTTGAACCAAGCCCAAAAGTGGTGCCTCAAAAAGCACGTGCACACACACACACACCCTCAAGTGTGAGTATTCGACCAGACGAGTGCTTGAGGATGCGCTTCGTGACGACGCTGACTGCAAAATTGCCGCCGGAACTGCTACAACAAGTGTTTGCAGTTCTGTGCTTTGGCTGAACCATGCGCTTGCGCTGATGCTGTTTCACGCTCTATAGAGAGCTGGCATGTCGTTCACCCTCTTTTTGTGATTGTGAGTCCTGTTTCGAATTGGCAGGCTAGATGCACTGTGGATAGCTCGAGGAGTGCACATGTCATGAAGGCAAACGTAAGTTCGTTGCTCACTTTGGAGAATGTATTCGTTGGGCGAGTCGTGCTTGCCTGTAGGAGCCGTTTTGTTGCATCAACCTATGATGGAAGATGGCCATCGCTTACCAAGTGGAGCCGTCGTCCATATTTGGCTCCTTGTTTGGAATTACGAGTTTGGATTCAATTGCGGTACGAGTGGTGTTTACAAAATAGATAGCCTTAGACATATTGCGGCACATTTGGCTTCCAGCTTTGGTGGCAGGCTGCGACGGCACGCACAGTTGATGCTGAAGAGGCACCCAGAAGAAGCACCATGAGGAGCACAATCGCTTCCGCCTGGCAAGGACAGTCGGACAGAAGCAATACCTGTTTCACCTTGGTTTAAATGGAAACCACAAGGAACACCATTCGGGGCCCGCCCTAATTGGACAGATAGAGTACCATGCTGCAGTTTGGCAGCATTAAGGACCATCTCATCGACATGAAGGGTTTACCACACGCTGAAGCTTCCTGTGCGTTTGAGTGCTGGTGTTTTTGGGGGCATGTACTTTTATCATAGCGTATGTTATTTCCTGCCAATGTCCAACGCGACATTTGGCTCAAGCTTTTGCACTCGGCAAACTTTGCCTGCCATTTCGTCGGGAAAAGCTCGCGGCGCTCCACACGCCGGCTGCGTGGCATCGCGGCCGTCGTAACTGGGGCGGTGGTCTTTATCCCGGAGGTGGGTCGGGCTATTGTTTGGGGTGCGCTGCTATTGCTCGCTTTGCTCGCTTGGTGCTGCTTGCTGCTGTTTTGCTTGCCTGCTTTGCGCTGTGCTGCGCTTCTGCTCGGTCTCTTCTTGTTACAAACGAGGCACCCCTTTTGGTTCGTGTTAGTGCCGGCCGGGGGCAACTGCTTTGCCCTTGGGACCGGGGGGATAAGGTGGTCTCTTCTTGTTGGTGGGTTAGGGCCTGTTTTATCCATCCCGAAACTCTGTTTCAAACCCTTTCGCAGGTTATCAGCCGTAGGATTCGTCCTCGGTTGGCACCGCGAACCCCTTTTAATAATAACCCTGCAGGTACCGTAGGTCTCTGTAGGCGTCATGTCGGGAATCACTGAGGACGGACCTCATGTGGTGACCGACGAATGGGTTCTCGGCCAGGCCGGAATCTTGGACGTTGTGAATGACGACCAAGTGCCCGGACAGCCGATGTTTTCCGGTCCTGATTTTTTGTCGGACCACTCTTTTTCAGAAGCAATGCCTTCAGGAAGATCCAGTGCTACCCGCACTGATGACCTATCGTCTAATGCCTCAAGAGCTAATCGCTCTCAGGGTCACGGGGCTAATCGTCCTGACCATGATGATTCCGTCTCAGGACGTGATGATGACGAGCCCGGTATTGCACCTGGAGCTCAATCCTCATCTTTCCCTGAGTTGATGAATATTGGTCAGTCCGAGTTTCGTGGCTCTCGAGGTAGCAGTAGACCTGTGCCAACCAGCAGTATAGTTTTTCAAGCGCTCGGTAATCCCGAACCTGGTACCTCCAGTGGAGTTGCATTTGACGTTCATCTGCCGACCGAATCCGGTGGGCTCGACTGGAGAGCCTCATGGCCCAACGACGGAAACATTTTTGGTATGGATTTTGCCGCATGGATGCCAGGGCTGCCCGCCCCGTCATCTTTCCCGCAATTCCAAAGCCCAAAACGGGCGGCTGGAAGCGATGAATTCATGCTACCTTTGTCGATTGAGAATCTCAATCCTGACGTGGCCAGCCGTAACGTCAGGCCAAGGCCGTCGGTAAACCCGACCATGAGGAACATGTCCCCTCCCCCAGGACTTTCGGGATTCGAAAGCCCTAGGGAGCGTAATATCGTAGATAGATTGGATTTGCATCCTAGTCCAACTCCGAGCAAACGATCAAGGTCAAATTCGACTGGATCGCATAGGGCAAGGGGGATGGATCGGGAAACTGCCCACAGGGGTAACCCCAGTGCGCGGGACTCAGGACGCGGTCGATCAGGTGATCCAGCGTCAATCATAGGTAAACGCGGACACACTCGTTAACGTGTTTGATGGGATCGAAGCATTCCAGGAGGAATTTAATAGGTCAAGTGGCTTGAACGCGCAAGGCGTTCGCCCTACGCCCAACGCGGCTTCCATTTTCGCCCTGGACAACATGGACGGAGCTAATGTTCCAATAGAATCTGAGTCCATGATGGCATCAAGTTCTAGTCGCAATCATACCATCAGTAATGCGACTGATATTGAATCGATGTCTGAGTCTAGAGTGTCCAATGCGACCGACTTGAATGACATTGTTATTGCTGACTCGAGACCTGATGTTCCTATGCGAACGGAAAGGCCTGTTGTTCCTAAACTGTCCGTGGCCAAAGGATGTCGAACTATGCTGGACCAATAATAGGGACGGCATAAAGTGGGTTAAAGACCAACTTTATGAAACACAAGCCAACCTTGAGATAAAGTCAAGGGACTGCAAATCCTACACAGACAAGCAAAATACTCATAACATGGCCGTTTCGACTACGCTCAACAGTAAGATCGAGCAAATGCTCGAGGTGCTGGGTAATACGGCCCAGAGAATTAACTCCCTCGAGTCAAGGCACTCGAACCAGGCATCAAGTAGTGGATTGAACGATCGCACAGGAGGAAGGCGTGCCGCGTCCCGTACTCCGGATAAGCGGCCACCTCCACCTGGCCCTCCTGATGATGATCCTCCACCACCTCCTCCTCCAGATCGGCAAAGCCCAGGAGGAGGGGGGAAGAAGAGTGCTGCCGGTGGGAACCCTAGCGACCCTGATAAACCCAGGTGTAAATACGTAGGTGATGGAAATAATCACCTCATGGCTGAGTTTCACTGCAAAGGATGCAGAGGTGATATTTGTGAGTATTGTTTCTCGTTCAAAGAGAACTTGTGTGAAGAATGTTCCCGGAACGGACCCCGATGCGGTGTCTGTAGGGAGAGCTCGTTCCTGACCAGGGGAATCGAGTGTCAGTTTTGTAGGACCTACTACTGCACCAGACATTCTGCTGGGCAGGATGACTACAGGAGATTTGGATTTCCAGGGTCCCTGTTGTCTTGCGTGCCTTAGGGACGAAACTAGGAGAAGAAGGGATCCCGATGGTAACCGTGTCAGGAATAGATCTCCTGGAGGCGCACCTGAGACGAACCCGACGCGGTCGTACTCGCCGCCTCTGCGGCCACCCGCTGACAGATTCCGTGACACTCCCACTGGGGGTCAACCCAACGCGGCTGACCTTCAGAGCCCTCCGAAGGCTACGCAACCCGTTCCCCTGGATAAACGTGAAACTGGATATTACCCAGGATTTGATCCCAACGGTGCAAGGCCGAAGGATCCTTCAGGCCTTGAGCCGCCGACCATGCGTGGCCCCGATCCTCCTGACAAGAACTGTCGGATGTGTGATCGGGATATTCCTGACCCCAGCAAAATTGGGGAATGTAAGATATGCATGAAAAGGGCATGTGAGATTTGCATTCCAAAGGCTACTCGCCTTTGCCCTGTGTGTGCACTGTCAATCGGTAGCTCTCAGGTTCCACAGCATCTTTTCGGAACTGGTGGCGGCGGATACAGTAGCCATCATGATCCGAACTGTACAGCTGCGACTAAGTGCATTCCCATAGACCTCCCGCCAGAGCCCGACGCGGCTGGGCTGAGGGTATGGATAGCCAATATGAAGGAAGCTGTTAGCAATGCCTACAGCTATGATGGACTTTACGTCATCAATTGGCTAACTGAAGTCGAGAAGGCAAAGACCTTTGATGAACTGGATGGGGAATGTAAATACCACATCCTTGAAGCCAGGTTCAATGCAGCCATTCGGAAGTGCATCAAGACTGTTGCAATTATCGATAAGATTAATCGTCTCACCGAAGCCGCTCAACGTTCCAACAATCGCATCAAGAGTAGGCAGATCCTGTGGCTCTTATACGACCACTTAAGGACTGCAAATATCGGAGAGCAATCATTCAGGATAATTGAGCTCTCAAACTTGCGATGCAGTGTTTCATCTTTCTATACTGAAGAGGAGCGACTTGAAAGGTTCATCGCGAAGTGGGATCACATCCTTGCGGGTCTCGATGAACCGCTGACCGAGCAGGTAAAGCGGTCGCTATTCAGTGAGAAGGTTAGACACCTCAACTGTTTGGCTCATGATATCAGGGAATGGGATAGGAACATATCCAACCCTGATGTTTGTAGCTATGAATGGCTTCGTGCTCGTTGTAAGAACGAAATTGACCGCTGGAGGGTTCGTAAGAATCAGGTCAATATGCACAAAGACTTTTACGAACGATCTCAGTCCAGGGACAGAGCCCAGAAACCTGGTGCTCCTGGTCCTCCCGTCAGGAGACGATCTCCGTTTGGAGATTCCCATAGGCCTAATCGGCCTCCTAGTGATCCAAGGAAGAGGACCGGTAATACCCCAAGTCCTCATCGAAGGGACAAGTACTCTCCCAGGAATCGGGAGCAGGACAAGCGGCGTACGCCTAGCCCTAGGGGCGAGCCCCCAAGGAGGCCCAGATCTACGTCGCCCGGTGCTCCTGCGATTGATGCGTGCAGGGACTTCGCGCGTGGATACTGTTCGCGCGGACAAGAGTGCAAATTCGCACACACAAGAACTGGGAGTTCCGATGCGAAACGCAAGGAGCGTCCTCCCCTGATTCCAGGGTATTGCGCCCAATGGGTTTCCTATGGAAAGTGCATGAGGGATAAGTGTGATTACAAGCATGCAAAGCCACCTGAGCATTTGCTGAAAGAAGCGAAGCAACACACTGCGGCCCCAGCGACCGAGTCTGCCGATGCGCAACCCGAGTCTGCTGAACCTACTACCACTGCTGACGACAGGACATATAGTCCTGCCCCTGATTTGTCAGCGGGTTTTTGAGAGGGGCGGGCCGTCACCCTCAGGCTATTGGGCTTGTTGCCTGCCCTGCTCATCCCATAGCCAAGGCATATGAAGAGTATAGAGCTCGGTTTCAACGCCCTGAAGGGACAATGGAGTGGTCAGTGACCACTATTGGCGCTCGTACACTGCAAGGTACGTGTCCGGGCGGCCCGAATATCAGAGCTGTAATTCGCAGACGAACAATTCGTCTCTCAGACAACGCTCTGATTGATGATGTCGATTTGAATGTACCAATCCGTTTTATTCAGACGGATTCCTGGGCCGATTGACATTAGGACGGATTTCTATTACCTGCCCGGTAAGTGCGGCCAGTATAACTCTGAGCTCGCGAAGGCAGTGAGGGTCAAGCTCACTGCTCGCAGGCTGAGTTTCAATGACAATGCTGAAATTCAGCAAGTTGAGAATATAAGGACACGTGGC